TACATGCGGTCTGCTGGGCGAGTTTGGCCGTAAGTGGTGTGTAGTGAGGAGGGTGGAGACGAGTGTAAAGGCGACCCAGGAGGTGAGGGGTTCGCCAGGAAGGCTATGTGAAGTGTAAGTGGTCTGGACAGTGTGATGAGAACTATCTAATGTGCGATTGATGCTGAGGTGGAACGGCGGATAATGCTGGTTGTGTCGATGCAGTGACTGGTCATCGCAATTGCCATTGGGTCATCTGGTGAGATTATCTTTGTGGTTGGGGGCAGCAATATTGAGGTACGTTACTCCCAACCTTATCTACCCTCTCCAACGCTTCTTACCGTGAGGTTGTGTGATCCAACTTGAGAGTCCTCTCATCGTGAGGTGTMGAGTGCGCTCAACCTTGAGAGTCGGMATAYTTCCTGTGGAGCATCAAGGGGAAGGGGGCGTTGCTTTCTGAAGGGCCCTGGACGAAGCACTGGGTCACGGTCACCATGCCAACCCACTGGGTGTAGTACACGCATGCTTCGCTGCAAGTCTTTGGTTCTGCTGCTTGCGCAGATAGAGGTTAACTCGGGTGTGGCAGCCTCTTGAGACGCTTACCAGACCGTCTATAAACATTTCTGGTTGGGGACTCGGCTCTGAATCTGGCTGTGATCGTCGTCCTGTTGCGACGTAAAATAATTCSTGATGTCACTTGGGGGCGGACGTTAAATTGCCTCTTSATCAGCCAGATCAACCGAGTGTAAGGCTCGTCGGCGTAYGAGGATAAATAAGAGTGTTGTGGCTKCCTTGCTCGACGATAACCTGGGGCACAGGGGTGGGACCRGATTGCACACCTTCAGTCACGCGTGCTACCCGATTGCTCAGGACGCTGACGGCAAGAGATACTCAAGTGTAGATTGGAGGGAGGGGTTGATTCCAGGTGACAAGTTCGAGAAAATACCATGCTGTCCTATCCACACAAGTGATTCTATTTTTATGTTTTGATTAGTTAAATGGATTGCCATTGACATCTGACAGACAGCAGTAGTTAGAACTGGTGCTTCTGTTTGCAGACTAGTCATACTAGAAGTAGTTTCAGTTGTAGGAATCTGAATTATCTGCTGACCCCAAATGAGATCTGTTCCAAAAGTAGCCACCACTAATTAGTTGGTCTGTGCACTATGCTGCGGTAGGTATCTTGTATGATCTAGTGTAGATGGTGCATAGTGTTGTAGCCTATGAGCGGCAGAGAGGACATCGGAGGGGACGACCGCAGGATCTTGCGATCAGTTCGAGGCCCGATAACTCACGTGTCCCTAGGGGACCGGAGGGTGATAGGGAACTGTTCCGCCGACAGAGGGAGAGGCAGCAGCAGAGGAGAGCTAGAGCAGCCGAGGCCAGCAGGGCATTAGCTAGCGAGGCCGGTGCTACAGCAGCCATGGCTACCACAGCCATGAGCACGTCTGCGCAGCAGACTTCCCAAGCCGGTAGTTCAGGTACCGTCGGGTCCATGGTTCCGCAGACCGTGAGTCAGTCCACTAGCTTAATGGCAAGCCAGCCCGCGGTGTTGACCCCAGAGGATGTCGCCATCCAGCAGGCAGCCCTGCAAGAGGCACAGCTACAGCAGGCATTAGGACAGATAAAAAGAGAGAAGGAAATGATGATTAGAAGAAGAACCAGGATGCAACGAAGAGGGGCAGACATAGAGGAGTTAGAAACGATGGACCTGACGAACATGGATGATGACGTGAGGGTAGTTAGGAGGGCCCTGCTAGGGGTAATAGAGATGCAGGAGCATCAGACTACCATCCTTCATGACATCCAGCAGAGCCTAGCCATTTTGGTAGGGCGTTCTCAGGCAGCGCCATCACCGGCAGGGCCGGGTGCCTGGCCTGTGCCATATCCTCCCTTTTATGTCCCACCGATCACTGGGGTATCCCCATTTGTAGCCCCGTCGACGGTTGCTGTCGTTTCCCTGGGCATGCCGCTCTCAGGAGGGCTATCAGCAGGTCCTAGTGTTCAGGTTCCAGTACAGTCAGTGGTCACCCAGGTTCCGTCACAGGTTGCCATTAGTGGGCAATCTATTGTCTCGCAGTCTGTGCAGCCACAGGGCACACAACCCCAACAGCTAGCACAACAACCTGTATCACCGGGTCCACAGCCCGGGTTGGTGCACGGACCGGGACAAAGTCAGTGGGTTCCAAAGACGGCCATCGCCGCTCCCAAACCCTTTACATGGACAAGAGAGGCAAAGACCTCGACACTTGGTTGAGGGCAGTGTCGGTCTATGTCAGGTGTAAACTCACCTTGCCACACGAAGAAGTGCTTGTGGCTACATCCTACCTAGAGGGTAGTGCAGCAAGATGGTTGAGTGGGTTAGTACAACTCCAGGGGCATGGTCATGACTTCCGCTCTTGGGCAGCCTCTCAGAAATTGGAGGACTTCCTGAAGATGGTGGAAGAAAGATGGCATGATCCTCAGGAGGCCCAAAAGGCCACTGATGTGATCCTGACACTGCACACGAGGCAGTTTAAGTCAGTAAGGGAAACCACAGATGCTGTAGAGCGTCTGATCTGTGTTCCAGGGGTGCGCTATGACCCCCAGGTCCTGTTGACTTCGTACTTGAGGTGCTTATCCCAGCCTCTCAGGAACCAATTGGCAAAAGAGGCCAACATCAATATGCACGACTTTCCTTCGTTTAGCAAGGTAGCCCTAGACCTTGAAGCAAAAATAGGGCATGGACATAACTCAGTGACGGACGGGAAAAATAAGACCCTGCCTCCTAACTGGAAAGCCAAGGGCCGCATTATGTTCATCGACCACGATGGATCAACCATTGAGTTGGACGACGACTCCCAGTTAGGAGTAGGTGCAGAGGCAGGTGGCGATACTTCAGAGGGTGGAGTAGTCGCCGCCGTAACCCAACAAAAAGGTAAGGGGACCGGTAGACGCCGAGCGGGCTCCCGGTCTAGGAATCAAGTTGACCCCAATGCTCCTCCATGGGAGAAAGCGGGTCTTTCCGAGGACGTGTGGAGAGATCGGTGAAACCGTAAGGCCTGCATCCGTTGTGTTTAATACGGCCATAACCAGTTCAAATGTAGGAGCAAGAAGGTCACCGATAAGATCCCGCCTACTATGGGGCAGGCGGTAGGATCCTCATCTCCCATAGGTAGCAATGTTGCCAGTTCATCAGGCACTGCTCCGGGAAACACGTCAGGCCAGTAGGAATAGTAGTTGTTCCTATTAGGGACGAGGTGGTGGAGACACCCTCGCCATCTCGCATCATGGCCCAAGCTACTGATTCCCTTGTCGTCCCGCAAACGCATTCAGACCCATCGACCCTTTGCTCGATGAATGTGTTCGAGTCCTTAGAGGAGCTAGAGGAGGAGTGGTCTAGACTAGACCCGCTAGCTTCTTGGACGGCACTAGCTAAAGCCCCGAAGGGTGAGATTTTCGTCAGCGAGGTAGTCGTAGGCGGCCGCAAGGCCGGGGCCTATTATGACACTTGCTCGACACGAAACTTTATTAGTCGCGCGTGCGTTGAGAGGCTGCGTTTACAGGGGCAAGTGCAGCGCCTGAGTCGACCTGTGGAGTCGACATGTGCCAATAAACAGCGCATGGTAGTCAATGACTACCTTCAGGATGTAGAATGCCTGTTCCCGTTCGTGGGAGGGGAGTTGAGGCATCGTGTCTCATTCATAGTGAGCGACGATCTCCCTATGGATATCTTGTTAGGTATGTACTACCTCTCTGTGGCACAACCTCAGTTTGACTGGGACCGAAAAGTGGTCAAGCACACTTTGCCAAGTGGAGGGACCGCCAGATTACACAAGTTCAAAGCTAGTAGTCTGATCGATTCCCATGGATGCATGTGTGCGGCCGCGTTCTATAACTACTATAAGCAACATCAGGAGGAGGATATGTACTTAGTTTATGTCTCCGCTGCAGGCGAGCCGGTGAAAATGTCGTCGGAGATGGAGGAAGTAGTTGCCAAGTACCCTGATCTATTTGAAGCGCCAACAGGGGTTGTTGATAGGGAGGTCGTCCACACGATAGAGATTATCCCTGGGTCTAGTATTCCGAAGGGTAGGATCTATCGGATGTCTCCAGGCGAGCTTGATGAGCTTCGCCGCCAACTCAAGGAACTCATAGAGAAGGGTTGGATCCGGTCGAGTGTCTCTCCTTACGGATCTCCAGTACTATTCGTACCTAAGAAGAAGGAGGGCACTCTCAGGATGTGCATTGACTATAGGGGCCTCAATGCCATCACTGTGAAGAACAGAGAGCCCCTACCGCGCATCAACGATCTGTTAGATAGAGTGCAAGGGTGTAGGTACTTCAGTAAGATAGATCTGAAGTCCGGGTACCATCAGATTGCAATCCGCCCCGAGGATCAACAACAACTGCATTTCAGACTAGGTACGGTCCGTACGAGTTTGTGGTGATGCCTTTTGGCCTTTGCAATGCTCCTGGCACCTTTCAGCACACTATGAATCGGATATTCCATGACTACCTGGATAAGTTTGTCGTCGTGTACCTCGATGACATACTTATTTTTAGTAAGACTGTCGAGGAGCACGTTGCACACTTAGACAAAGTTCTCAGTCTCCTGCGACAGCACAAGTTCAAGATCAACGGTGAAAAGTGCGAGTTTGGCCGCACCCGTATCTTGTACTTGGGTCATGAGATCTCCACGGAAGGGTTGAAGCCCGATGACGCGAAGGTGGCCAGCATTCGTGATTGGCCACGACCTCAGTCTGTGACTGAGATGAGATCTTTCTTAGGAATGACCGGTTACTATAGGACTTTCGTTAAGAACTATAGCATAGTGACCGCTCCTTTGACTGATCTGACTCGCCTTGACACCCCGTGGGAGTGGGCACATAAGTGCGAGGCTGCTTTCAGACATCTGAAGCATGCACTAACGCATTATGAAGTCTTAAAACTTCCCGATCCTGATAAGCCGTTTATAGTAACCACGGATGCTAGCCAATATGGCATTGGCACCGTGCTTGCGCAGCAGGAGGGGCCAAAGTTGAGGCCTGTTGAGTAAATGTCCAAGAAAATGTCGTCTTAGAAGTTGGCTAAGTCCACCGATGAGAAAGAACTCTATGCGGTGTTCAAGGCGCTGACCCATTGGAGACACTATCTCCTTGGGAGGTTCTTCATCCTCAGGACTGATCATCAGACCTTGAGATGGATGAGAACTCAGCCTGTACTATCTGACGCATTGAAGCGTTGGATAGAAGTCATTGAGCAGTATGACTTTGACCCTCAGTACATTAAGGGTGAGTACAACAAGGTTGCTGATGCCTTGTCGCGTAGACCTAACTTCTCATGTGCGCTGATTACTGAGTACGATCTTACGGATGATGTCACTCGATCCTTGGTGGAAGCCTATCGAGAGGATCAGTTTATGTCTGAGATCATATGTAGACTCGAGGCGAAGGATAAACAAACTTCAACTGAGTTTGAGTTAGTCAATGGCTTGCTGTTTCTCGAGAAGGAAGGGAATAAACGTTTGTGTGTCCCTGATAAAGAGTCTTTGCGTAGTTTGTTTTT